TGAGACAAACAGCTTGAAAGCAATTTTCTGGGGCAGCAGGTGCCACTGACCAAAAATGCAGGGGTGCCTCCTGGGGGACCTGGCGGCCCCAGGGGAGGGGAACACTCTGGCACATTCTTGCTTCTAGGCCTCGCAGGCGGCACTGATCACCAGGGTAAACAAGTGAAATGGACTCAGGCCTTGTCCTCGTCCTTTGCCCTTGCCGAAACGCCTCCCTGTGGCACCCAGCGCCCCAGCAGCACGACCCAGGTCCCGGGAAAAACTGCTCAGAGCCTCTGAAACCAAGAAGGCTTTGTTTTTCCTCCAGACTCTGCTGTAACCAGAGTGATATTTACGCCTTGTTTCCTTTACAGGCTCAAAACCTTTACCCCGACTACCTATCTCAAAAAGCACAGACACTGTTATTTGTTTTGAAGTTTGCACGTGAGCATGAGCATTGTCAGCCATAATCCATGCTTTGTCGTAGCAATAGCTAATTGGGGAGAATCTGTGATATGGGGGAGTCCTGTGAGCCTCCATTCACCCTCCCAAAAAGTACTATAGCTGAGAGTAAAATATAGCTCTCCCCATCGACCCGGGGCGCTCCACGGGACCAGAGTCTGCTGGCACCCCTTGTTGTGAGTGGTCAGCGGGGCATGGGGGGGCGGGTGCTGCTGCTGAGGGGAGGCCAGCATCCTGCTCCCACCAGACACTGCACAGTCTGTTTTCTCCATGCCCAGGAGCCCCAAGTGGTGCTGACTGGCTGGAAGGCACCCACGGGAGCCGTGGGTCCTGCACCCAGGTGAAGCTACTCCCACCTGCCTTGTGACGGTTGAGTTTATGTGTCAACTTGGCTGGCCTGTGGTGCCCAGTTGTTTGGTAAAACACCAGCCCAGATGTTGCTGTGAAGGTATTTGCAAATGTGATTAACATTTTATAATCAGTAGACTTTGAGTAAAGCAGACAATCCTCCAGGATGGGGGTGGGGTCTCATCTAATCAGTTGAAGACCTTAAGGGTAAACACAGGTTTTTCAGAGAAGGAATTCTGCCTCAAGGCTGTAACATAGAGTTCCTGCCTGAGTTTCCAGCCTGTTGGCCTGCCCAACGGACTTCAGACACGCCGGTCCCCACAAATGCATGAATCAATGCCTTAAAACAAATCTGTTTATACCGTCGGCCCTCAGTATCCACGGGTTCTGCATCCATGGAGTCAACCAACCACAGATCAAAAATATTTTCAAAACAATGTTATGTTGTTGCTGATGTGTACTATGGAGTTATGCCTACTGTACTGAACAGGTACAGACTTTTTTCTTGTCATTATTCCCTAAACAATACAGTATAACAACTATTTACATGGCAACAACACTGTATTAATATTAGGTATTATAAGTAACCTAGAGATGATTTAAAGTACATGGGAGGATGTGCATAGGTTATATGCAAATACTATGTCATTTTATACAAGGGACTTGAGCATCGTGGATTTTGGTATCTGCGGGGGGGTCCTGAAACCAGTCCTTCTGTGGTTATCAAGGGACAACTGGATATAAATGTCTCCTATTGAGGGGGCCGGCCAAGTGGCACGTTGGTTAGGAGTTGACTTGGGACGCCAGCTCTGAGCATGACGGCCCTGGTTCGAATCCCACATGAGGGCCAGTGACGCTGTGCCCTCTACAGCTAAGATGGTGAACAACAGCTCAACCTGGAACTGGGCTGCCGTGAGTCACCGGCGACGGTGTAGGCTGCAGTGGAGCTGGTCAGCAGCAGGCGTGAGCTTTTGCAAGCTGCCATGAGCTGCCGTGAGCGGCCGTCCAGTGGCCGGCAAGCGACTGCCTCACCTGGGAAGAGCGCAATGATCACAATGCCAACATGGGCCAGTGAAGCGATGTCCTCCACAACTAGACTGAAGCACAAAAGGACAGCAAGCAACTTGTCTGTTCCCCTTCCCCGATTCCCCAACACTGTTCCCCTCCCCCAATTCCCCAATAAAATCTTTTTAAAATAAATAAATAAATAAACAAATAAACAAATAAATAAATAAATAAATATCTCCTCTTGGTTGTTTCCCTGGAGAAGCTGACTGATAAAGCCTCTTATACACTCAGGTTTCTCCTTCCCATGAATCATCAGAATCACAAAGTAGTGGTGCCAGGAAGGACCCCAGTGAACATCTGGTGTCATCAACGGTCACTGTACAGCAGGAAAACTGAGGCCCAGAGAGGGTTTGGGACTTGCCCAAAGCCACACAGCAAGTCCATGGAACCAGGTCTCCTGACTCCAGCCTAGAACCAGAGGGACGCCAAGGATGGTGAGACATGGCAAACATTTTTTTGAACATTTAAGAAGGAAAATAACCGTCACCACGTGCCCCCACCCCAGCCACCCGCAGTTAATTCTTTCCCATCTCGGCTTCCGTTCTCCAAGGCGTTGTTCTGTTCTACACCTGTCGTTCAATGGGACCCTACCCTTCTTCCTAGAAAGTTGTCTGAACTGTTACTTAAATCGCAAGCTACCAATCCATCTACTGGCATTTACTACCAGTCCCCCCAGCTGCCTTCTTGTAAATGGTGTGACAAACCTGTGCCTGACGGAAAACGACGCGTTGTCTCGGTCAGAGAGCACGCTGTGAGTTATCCTTTGGGAGCTGTTTTAGATGGCTGACTGACAGCAACACAAAATCACTCTTTGTCTATAGACATGCAAATTCTGTCCCTTCCACTAGAAGTTCCACTGACTTCTCGCCTTTCCTCCCCACCCCCC